ACCTGCACGGCTGGGCACGGGGCGGCTGCGGACAAACGCGCCAGGCCCACCGGCCCGATCACGACAGTGCAGGCTCATTGTGGCCAATGGCACAGCGTGAGCGGAGTTCACACCGTCACCTATTGTTTCTCGGCGGCTTGATCCTTACAGGCACGTAGGGACTGGAGGCCTCTTAGAATTAGATCAGAAACATACAAACACCGAATAAATTCTGAGCCAGGCCTTTGGATGAGGTCACAGCCAGCCAGTGCTCTGGGAGGCAGGGACGTGCGTAAGCACGGGGGACTGGGGACTCACAGGACCACAGAAAGGTGGGTGTCTGGGCAAGACCCTGCGGTGTAACCCCTCAGGGGTGGGCAGTGAGCACACAGTGAGGCCAGGCAGAGACAGGAAGAGCCCAATGGCACCCAGGCCTTCATGGCTCCCGGGTCCTCACGTCCTCAGCACCGGGCAGAGAGGGCTCCAGCCTGAACCGGCGGGCTGCCCCCTGCAGTGCTGCCCCCTGCCGGGCAGGCTGGGAAGCAGACAGGGGCAAAGCTCTGGGCACCAAGGGCAGAGCCCAAAGGCCCTCTGCTCCGCCCCAGGGCAGCAGGACACTGGGCCCTCACCTTTGCCAGGAGTGATCCTACCTGGACGGGAAAGCATGTCCCACCCCCTGGGTATGAAGAAAGGGGACACATACCTTCCAGCAGGGCTCCTCATTGGCTGGCACAGGGAGGAAGGGCGAGAACATGTTAGTGGGCATCTGGGGAACACCAATCAGGACTGGAGTCCATGAGGCCCGGTGTGGCCAGGTTCTCACCCAGGGCATGATGGGAGCATTACAGGCCCCAGTGACAGCTGGTTCTCACCCAGGGCATGATGGGAGAATCACAGAATCACAGGCCCCAGTGTGGCCAGGTTCTCACCCAGGGCATGATGGGAGCATTACAGGCCCCAGTGACAGCTGGTTCTCACCCAGGGCATGATGGGAGAATCACAGAATCACAGGCCCCAGTGTGGCCAGGTTCTCACCCAGGGCATGATGGGAGTAAGGGTTTCTGCCCTGGTCATGGCAAGGACCCGCCACGGACCAGGCTCGTCATGGCCCGAGTTCTGGAGGAGCAGGGCAGCCGGGAGCGTAGGGGGAGGGAAGCATCGCTCCAGTGGGAATACGGGACTCACTCTGAACTCCTCTGTTGCCCGTAACCCACTCATTGTAGTGAGTGATGCCAAGCACACGTCTTAATGACCAAGCCGGGCTGCAGACGCCACCAGCAGGGGGAGGCCCTGCTTCATGTGCACACTCCACAGCGTACAAAGCGCTGTCATGCTCACCCCTGTGCCACTGTCCTCACGGCCCATTTGACACACCAGTAAACCAAGGCCCAGGAGGTGGCGTGACGTGTCCAAGGTCAGAGTCCCAAGAGGAGGCAGGTCGTTTCCTGCCCGAGGACTACTTGTTCTCTAACTGGGAATGAAGGGCACCCTCCTGGTGGGTGTTGTGACTGTGGATGTGTTCGTGGAGGCTGGTTTCTTGGCCCCGAGGTCCTGCAGTGGGCAGGGCTGGCAGAGGGGGGCGGGGCCCATGCATCCTGGGGTGAAGGCCCGGGCCAGGTCCCAGCCTGCCAGTGCCCTGAGGTGCGGAAGGATCCCGAGGCCCAGGGGGCGGTCTGGTCCAGACCACAGCGAGTCATCGAGGCAGGGCCGGGCCGAGGACTCCAGGTTCCCACGTGCTGCCCAGGGCAGCTCATGAGGGTGTGTGAGGCACCCGGCCAGCTGCCTGTGTGGCCAGGGCATGATGGGAGCACTACAGGCCCCAGTGACAGCTGGTTCTCACCCAGGGCATGATGGGAGTAAGGGTTTCTGCCCTGGTCATGGCAAGGACCCGCCACGGACCAGGCTCGTCGTGGCCCGAGTTCTCGAGGAACAGGGCAGCTGGGAGCGTAGGGGGAGGGAAGCATCGCTCCAGTGGGAATACGGGACTCACTCTGAACTCCTCTGTTGCCCGTAACCCACTCATTGTAGTGAGTGATGCCAAGCACACGTCTTAATGACCAAGCCGGGCTGCAGACGCCACCAGCAGGGGGAGGCCCTGCTTCATGTGCACACTCCACAGCGTACAAAGCGCTGTCATGCTCACCCCTGTGCCACTGTCCTCACGGCCCATTTGACACACCAGTAAACCAAGGCCCAGGAGGTGGCGTGACGTGTCCAAGGTCAGAGTCCCAAGAGGAGGCAGGTCGTTTCCTGCCCGAGGACTACTTGTTCTCTAACTGGGAATGAAGGGCACCCTCCTGGTGGGTGTTGTGACTGTGGATGTGTTCGTGGAGGCTGGTTTCTTGGCCCCGAGGTCCTGCAGTGGGCAGGGCTGGCAGAGGGGGGCGGGGCCCATGCATCCTGGGGTGAAGGCCCGGGCCAGGTCCCAGCCTGCCAGTGCCCTGAGGTGCGGAAGGATCCTGAGGCCCAGGGGGCGGTCTGGTCCAGGCCACAGCGAGTCATCGAGGCAGGGCCGGGCCGAGGACTCCAGGTTCCCACGTGCTGCCCAGGCAGCTCATGAGGGTGTGTGAGCTGCCTGGTGGGGAGGAGAGGCTCTCTCCAGGGCTGAGTGGTGGCAGGTGGCACCTGGGCAGGGCCACAGGGCAGAGGCCAGGAAGCACTGGCTGCAGATACAGGTGCTGGGGGGCTGGGGGGGAGAGTGAGGGCCAGGTCAGCTCTGTGGTGGGCGGGTCCTGCCGCAGTGGCCGTGGGCACCACGGGGCCTGGCCCTGCTCACCTCGTGCCGTGAGGAACAGGGGGCTGTTCAGGTAGCTGGACGCCAGCCGCTTCCTCTGCAGGGACAGAAAATAAGACAAAACCACTGTCAGGGAGCCCTCCTCGGGCTGCAACCCCTGACCAGGCTCACCAACAGCCCCCACCCAGACTCTGGGCCCCGCTGGACACCCAGGGAGGCAGACACGGGAACAGGCCCGGGGACGCAGGACTGGGCAGAGGGGGTGGGCGGGGGCCTGTCCCTCACCAGGGCGGAGTGGTCCCCGCTCCCTGTGGGGACGTCCGTCCCACTAGGAAGGACATGTGAGGACCCACACGGGGCAAATCAGTAACAGAGCAGATTGTGGTGCCCCATCTGCCCGTCTGTGTCTTCTCTCTTGGCTGCTCTGGGGTCCGGGGGGAAAAAGGGGTGCTACGGGTTAGCTCCCAACCCCCACTTCCGCCTGTGGCCGGGGAGCCCTGGCACCAGACAAGGGCCTCTGCATCCTGGTGGCCTCGGACGCCGCCGCCTCAGACGGAAGCTCCTGTACCTCCCAGAGGGGCTCTCCCACCCCAGGCCACGCGGTCTCGGCCTTGGTGGTTGGAGGGGGCTCTGGCTGTGATTGCACAGAAAGATTGTTCTAGAGCAGCTGTGGGCAAACTACGGCCTGCAGGCCGGATCCGGCCCTTGCCGGGAGGCCCTGGCGCCAGACAAGGGCCTCTGCATCCTGGTGGCCTCGGATGCCGCCGCCTCAGACGGAAGCTCCCAGAGGGGCTCTCCCACCCCAGGCCACGCGGTCTTGGCCTTGGTGGTTGGAGGGGGCTCTGGCTGTGATTGCACAGAAGGATTGTTCTAGAGTCTTGTTTGGCTTAAACCCGTCTCTCGGGCTGAGGTCCGGCCTTGGGAGGAGCCCATGGAGGGGCTGCCCTTGACCCTACGTATGTGTCCAGGGCTCAAGGGCACCGGCTTCGCGTTGGTCCCTGACGTGCTCACAGGTCGCCTCTGGCCCGGCCACAGGCTTCGGAGACCAGGGTCTGGCTTTGCAGGTCAGAGAGACAGGGTTTCGTCCACGAACAGCAAGAGACGGGCCTCATCAAACAGAGAACCCGCCACTCCGGTGACACGCCTACAAACGGGCCACGGCGCTCGGGGACCCCGCCTCAGGGACAGGGCTGCCTCCCTCCCCGCCGAGCTCCATGCACGGGATGTGGACCTGGGACAACTGGCTCGGCCTGCCCGCGCCCCGGGGAGACGCAGGGCACTTTCCCGACCCCTCCAGGCCCCCGGAGCCCTGCCGGCCTCGGGACACGCCTCTGCCTCAGCTTTGGACTCTGGGGCCTTAGAAACACTGCTTCCAGCGAAGGGGTCACTCCCAGGTGCCCCGCTGCCTGTGCCCTGCGACCCGCACCCAGGGAGCGCGTGTGACAGCTCAGCCGACACCTCCGTCTCCTGCCTCCTCTCTCAATGGACCCTGGGCTCCGGGGTGAAGCAGGATGATTGACCGGGAGGGCGGGTGAGGGGGGCCAGCCAGAGCCTCCCTCCCTGCGGAAGGCGGCCTCACCTCGGTCTCCAGGAGGCCGCTGTAGGTGGGGTTGGCGGTGCTTCTCCGCTTCCGCTCCTGGCGTTTGCTCTGGATTTCTGCAAGGCAGACGCCGCGTTACCATCCTTCCCGCCCAGGAGCCACCACGGCCCCGCCCGTCACACAGCCTGTCTGCACAGCACCGATGCCCGTGCCGGGAGCAGGCTGGGGTCTCCAGGCATCGCCCCTCCTGAGGCAGGACACGCCCACTGGGCTCAGGCTGGAGAGGACGGTTGGCAGGGAGGTGGCAGGTGTCCTGGATCCAGGCACCCACTCGGCTCAGGGCCCCATGGGCCGTCACCCAGCCTGGGGCTGTCTCTCTTAGGACCCTGCACACTGGGTGCCTCTGGGCAGATGCTGGCCTGGCTGAGCTGCACCGCGAGGCAAAGGGCTCCCGGGGGCAGGCTGTAGCTCAGGTGGCCTCGCCCCCCGCAGCCCCAGGCACAGAGCCTTCCAAGAGGCCTGGGCTGGCCGCCGTGGCTGGCACTGGGGCGGGCCTCCCAAAAGCTGGTTCACCCTCAGGCGCTGCCCTCTGACCAGGGGGACTGAGACCCACTGCTCCGGGATGATTCCAGCCGACCACCCTCCCCCCTGTCATGAGGGCCAGTCCCAGCCGTCCTGCTGCGGACCCTACCTTCCAGGTGCTCCGTGGTAACCAGGCCCAGCGCCACCATGAAGGCGATTTTCTGAGGGGAGGAAACAGAGAAGTGTTACCTCGACTTCATCATTCGTCCGCCCAGCGCCACCATGAAGGCGATTTTCTGAGGGGAGGAAACAGAAGTGTTACCTCGCTTCATCATTCATCCATCCATTCATTCATTCACTCCATCATCATTCATCATTCACTCATTCTACAGGCATTGCTCAGACCCGTATGCCCTGGCTCCTCACTGTGTGTCTCCTTAGCTTTAACCTAATGGACTTTCTCTGTCCCGGGACCCCACCCCAGACCCACGTGACATTTAGTCCTCACACCTCCTCAGCTGCTCTGGGCTGTGAGCTTCTCAGCAGCCCTCGTTTCTATGGCCTTGATGGTTGTGAGGGCAGGGACTCTGCAGGCGGCCCCCCCACTGGGATTTGCCTGATGAGGTTCTCAGGGTTACAGCGGGGTCGTGGGTTGGGGAAGAAGACAGAGGAAATGCTTTTCATTACATCCTGTCAGGGACGTGCTGTCCACTGGGCAGTGATGCTGACTGGGCACCTGGCTGAAGTGCACCTGCAGGGTTCCCACCGGGACCTTCCCGTCACCCCATCACCCCGTCCCCCCGCCCTTATTTATTTTTTTTGGCTAACCCTCACCTGAGGATATTTTTCCATTGATTTTTAGAGAGAGTGGAAAGGAGGAGGAAAGACACACAGAGAGAAATATCGATGTGAGAGACACATCGATTGGTGGCCTCAGGCATGCACCCCAACGCCCCAACTAGGCCGGGATCGAGCCTGCAACCGAGGTATGTGCCCTTAACGGGAAGGGAACCCCGAGACCCTTCAATCTGCAGGCCGACACTATCCACTGAGCCAACCTGCGAGGGCCGCCCCGCCCTCTGTGGGAGGAGGTCACCGTGCACAGCCCACGCCCCCCGGAGTTGGGCATTCCTGGGGCTTTGGGCGCCATGTAGACTTTTAAAAAATTGTATGTGGTGGAATTTATGAATATTTTCCTTTGCGGTGTTTGGATTTTTGAATCTTGGCTAGAGACTGAGGTTATAAAGCAAGTCGACTGTGTTTTATTTCAGTACCTATGGTTCACATTTTACATTTAGGTTTCGGATCCACCTGGAATTTATCTGAAAATAAGGGAATCAATGGGCATATTTACTGGGATGATGTCAAAATTATAAATGAACTTAGGGCACAACGATAACTTTATAATACTAATATTTCCTACCCAAACCACGGTGCACCTCTATTCTTTTTGTCTTCGGGGGTTTTAAACTTTCAAGTGGGTGTTGGATATTTTATTATGATTATTCCTAGGTATTTAATCTTCTTGTTGCTATTGTAAAAGGGATTGTCCATAAAGTTTCGTACATTAATATTACACCCGCCGCCACGCTGAATTCTCTTAGTGTCTGTGGGAGTTTTTCATCCATTCTCTTGGGTTTTCTACATCATTTCAAACAGTGACTGTTCATCCTCTCTAATTTTACTTCTCTGCTGTTAAAAAGACTTCTCCTCAACTTGCCAGCTGTCAATGATATTCTCTGATTCACTTTAAGTCCCAACTACGACAGACAAGACCATCTCACCGTTGATTCCACCTCCCACCTTCTCTCCCTCCTCCTCTCAACTGTACTCAGCTGAGCCTTGGCCCATCACTGGAGCAGGCAACATTTAAACCGCCGACATCCTTATCCCGTTACGGCTTTACTCTGCAGTTAATTAAAGGTGCCGCCTCAGTGTTGGTGCCAAAGTGGCCCCAGCGGCTCGGGGTCAACTGAGGTTGAGTCTGTAGTAGTTTCTCCTGAAGGGCTCATGGGAGCCCATCTCCCAAGTTCTTGGCAGATTTAAAACATTTTGCAGCCCTGGCCGGGTAGCTCAGCTGGCAAGAGCATCGTCCTGATACGCCAAGGTTGCAGGTTCGATTCCCGGTCAGAGCACACACAAGAATCAACTAATGAATGCATAAATAAGTGGAACAACAAAAATCAATGTTTCTCCCTCTCTCTCTCCCCCTTCCTCCCTTTCTAAAACCAATAAATAAAAATTTAAAAACCCACAAACATTTTTGTAGCCCGGCCTGTGTAGCTCAGTGGTTGAACGCTGACCTATGAACCAGGAGGTCATGGTTCGATTCCTGGTCAGGGCACATGCCCAAGTTGTGGGCTCACTCCCTGTCTCATCATTGTTGCTTCTACCTTTCTCTCCCTCTCCCTTCCTCTCTGAAATCAATAAAAATATATATATTTTTTAAAGTTTTTGTAGCCTCTCGCTTGAAGGCCAGCCCGGCTGGGCGGACAGTCCTGGGCTCTGTCGCTTGGCTGTGTGCTGAAGTTCAGTGCTGCATGGACAGGTCTGGAGCCAGCCTGGCTGTCTCCCTCTGAAGTCACTGGATCAGGACCCTTTCCCTTCCATTAAAGGCCAGTGCCTTTCCTGGGCTGTGTCTCCACGCGGACTGACCATTTCCCCTTGTGCCCAGCGTGGTCATTCAATGTGCAAACTAAATGATTTCATAAACGTTTGTGGATTGTACTTCAAAATCACTGAAGCATCCCCACACCAAGAACAGTGGGTCCCCACATCCCAATCCTGTAAGAGGTGCACCCGGGTTAATGCAAGTCTAATGACATGACGAAGGGGCCACAGAGCTGCTGCAGTGGGAACTGGGTCCAGGCTGCAGGGCAGTGCCCCTGGGAACCCCCAGGACCGGCACCGCTTCACTGGCCGGATCTGGGAAGTCTGGGCTGGGCGAATACCAGGCCCTCGGGGCACAGACTCCTGCTTCCACACTCAGCCTCCCCTGCCTCCCACAGGAGATAACTTCCGTGCTCATCTGAGGACAGGTAACAGGCAGCTCGCAGGAGCCGCCTGCCTACGTGTAATATTCTAATTCACATCACCGCGGGGGACTGTTGGGGTTTGACTGTATTTATCCTGCTCCACCGTCCTGGTGTCCTCCTTCCCATTCTCCAATTATCTACCTGTTGTTGTACCTTCTTTGCTTGTCTTCTGTAGGTACCACTTTCTAATGTTCAAAAACTCATTCTTCCTGTTTCATTTGTATAATTTCCTCCCTTCTGCCCGCGTTGTCCCTCGCTGTGTCTCCTGCCACGTCTATGGTACCCTCTGCTCATCCAGTTATGCATTTATTTCTGTGAGAGTTTTTATTATTTTTCCTAAATAATTCCAGCTCAGGTTTCATTGTCTCCAGTCCTTTGGCCATTTAGCCTCCTCTCCCCTCAGTCCTCGGGTTCCAGCTTTCCAGTTTCCCTCTTGGCGGTGATGAGTTTGTCATCCTTTCTTTTCACTTCCTTTCCTGTCTTCTTGGGGGAAAAGGTCCCACATTCACCCCCTTTTCCTCTGCTGACTTACAAGTGACAGGTGGCATTTTATTCCTTTTAGCAGTTAGTGTAGATGTTTGAAGTATATGTTCTTAGCTATACCTTTCCCTAATGAAGTCTAAAGTTAATATTTCTCTCTTTTTTTTGGAAGGTTAATATTTCTATCTTTCTCAACACGCTAACCTTAGCATGTTCTAACTTCCTCTAAAACATCACTGACCAACTTCTTATTGCCGCCTAGAATTTTCCTTTTACCTGTTTTTGAAAAACAAAACTGGGGCCCTGGCCGGTTTGACTCGGTGGATAGAACATCAGCCTGTGGACTGAAGGGTCCTGGGTTCGATTCCAGTCAAAGGCATATGCCCGGGTTGCGGGCTTGATTCCTGTGGACTGAAGGGTCCTGGGTTCAATTTCAGTCAAAGGCATATGCCCGGGTTGTGGGCTTGATTCCCAACTGAGGGCGTGCAGGAGGCAGCCAATCAATGATTCTCTCTCATCACTGATGTTTCTCTCTCTCCCTCTCCCTTCCTCTCTGAAATCAATATTAAAAACAAAAAAGTGGGTATTTTTTTGCAGTCTGTGCTTAAATGTATTACCTGCCACGAAATGACCGTGGTGCTCGTGGTGGCTCTCACACCCACGTGCTGGCTTCCGGTCTTCTCACTACAGCACAGTTCTTTTCACTGGTGGTTGTGGGTGACAGGCCTCAGTCTTTCTATGTCTAACAATGTCTGTTTTGCCCCGGCCCTTGAAGAATGGGTTCAGCCGGTGTGAAACCGAGTTGGCAGTTACTTCCTCTCAGCAGTCTGCGGGCGTTCCTCTGCCGGCTCCTGGCAGCCCCCGGCGTGCCCGCATTCCTTCGTGGCAGCCTGTGGCGCTGCCCTCGTAGTTTTCACGATCTCTCCTTTCTATTCTTGGACACAGATGTCTAGCTTCTAGATTTACTCTTATTCATCCGGCCTGAGAGACGGAGATGACTTTTGATCTAAGAACTCACACGAATGCTCCTCAATCCTAGAAAATGTTTAGCTTCGCTCTTCAATTATTGCTTCCTCCCTCCCCCAGCCCTTCTCCCGTGTGACGGAAGCTCTGGTTTCCCACCCTCCTGGCTCTTTCCTGCTTCTACACGCACCCACAGTGAGTGTGTTTTTAACTTTGCGTCTGTGCTGCACCTGCAGGGACAATCCCCAAGCAGCACTCTCTCCATCCTGTCTGCTTCTTTTAGTTTGTTTTTCTTTCCTTTCTGTTGTTGTTGTGTTTTTTCTTTTTCTCTTTGTGTCTGGTTCTTTTTATTGCCACTAATCACCATGTTTTCATTACCAGGTTTTCAAATAATGTTCGTATTCGCCTGATCTTGTTCCAAGTGTTGATTTATTGTCATTCCCAGCATTAGGGCTCTTCCTGTGTTTTAGAATTCCATCTACAGACTCGTTTGGGGCACAAGTCCTTTTTTTCTGTTAATTTTATTTTTCACTTTTTCTCCCTCCTGCTTAACCTTCCCTTCCCAGTTTGCAATTACCTGGCCCACCCCCCACCCCCAGTGCAGCTGTGACCCCAGGCTCAGACTGGCTCCCGTACAAGCAGGGTAGCCTGGTTCTATCCCTCTCTCGCCCGAAGAACTTTGGGGACTCACTGTTCCACGTGAGCTGCCCCCCTCCTGGTCCCCTCTGAGCCCGGAGCCCAGGCGTCCTGCTGGAGTCTGGACACAGCCACGCCTTTGTCCCCACCGAGGTTTTTTCTGTTGTTGCTGTGGATCTGCGGATGGGGACACCCAAGAGTAATCCTGATGGCATGTACGTGGATGAATTCCAAGAAGGGGGTGACTTCCTTATTTCTGAGAGGTCCTCTAGCTGCAGAGTGAATGGACAGGGAGGAGCCCATCTAGGGGCAGGGAGACCCAGCCGGGGAGAGACGGGCAGACTGGGCCTTGGCAGCAGGGCTGGTGTGGAGGGGCAGCATCTGAGCGCACAGGCGTGGCCCAGAGGCGGCCGGGCTGGGGATGCGGTCAGGGCCTCCCGGGGCTGGCCCTGCTCTGGCTGGCTCTGTGCAGGGCACACGGTGGTCCGAGGGTGGCCAGCTCGGTCAGATGACGCCCGAGGCCAGGACAACGGGTGGCCTCGTGCACTTAACCGGGACTGCGCGTGCACAGGTTCGAAGGCGCCACGGCTGCTCCGAGCCCTCTTTAAAAAGAAACCTTGACAGGATTTTTATGCCGAGACCCGCTGTAATTGCAAGTTCTATTGAAGCCATTACATGTATTTATGATAATTATGCAGTTAGATGTAATTATACTAATTGTATAAATGCGCAATAATCGACTAAGATAACTTTGAGAGAACAAAGAATCCACCCAGAAAGCCCTCCCGAAGGTTAAGAGTGTGCAAGACCCACAGGGGACAGAGGGGTGCTCGTGGGAGCCTGGCTCCGAGCCAGACCCAGAGCTCAGGGTGCAGCCGGTGCTGGGAGTGCTCGCCCGTTGCCATGGAACCGAAATGCCTGTCTCTCAAGATAAAACTGGGCCTGGGGCCACCGAGGAGCCTTGGCTCCAGGTCGCCCGGATGAACCCCCGCAGGCTTTGTGGACATGCAGGCCACGATCACGTCCCTCTCCTGCTCAAAGCTATGCCATGGCTCCCTCGTACCCAGGAATGCAGCCGGCGTCAGGGCTCTAGTCCACTGAGCCCGGCTGCGGAACCGTCCGTGCAGGGGGCACACACCGGCTGACTCCCGCTGGCATGTGGTTGCCCAGGCAGCACCCTCTCCCTGACTCGCCCTCTTGCCTGCCCGTTCCTCCGGGCCCTGCTGGTCACGCCCCTCGTGCGCCCAGCCCTCGGGTCCTCCCAGGTGGAAGCCGGCCCTCTCCCTGCACCTCAGAGTCTGAACGGGTCACTCTCCTGTGATGCCTGGCATCTGTTAACCCACGTCCCGAGGCCGTGCCTGTCTGCCGGCAGGTGAGTGTCCCTGGGGCCAGGACACGTCGGCCCTTGACCGGGCCCCACCGTCAGCACAGAGCCTGGCGTGAGTCACGCTCCCGAATAACTGAACTGTCTCATAATAAAGACATTGGTAACAATAATCCTAAGGAGCTGTGGGAGCCCAAGGGCCTCTCCTCCCCGCTGGGCTGGGCGGTCAGGGGACGCTGCCTGGCGGAGACAGTGTCTGAAGGCAACGTGCGATAAATGGAAGTTCGGCTGGGACAGAAAGGGGGCCAGGCGGGCAGGCACATGGGAAAGGCCCAGGACGCGAGCAGCAGCACAAGGGCCGTCACCTGCTGTGACCCAGAGCCGCTGCCTCTCCCACCTCCACCGGTGCAGGTGGCATTAGGAGGGGCAGTGAGAGCCCATCCTCCTTCCTCCTTCCGCAGGGTTTGGGGGTGGGGGGTGCTATGTACAATTTCTGGAAAGTTCTATGGGCACCTTTAGGAGACATCAGCACCTCCCACACCAGCCTTGGGCAGTGGTTGACTTCCCAGGCACTCGAGAGTCCTGTTCTGCCCGCCTTCAGGCACTCGTGATTGACCACAGGCAGAGAGAAGAGCCTTGATTGGTCACAGCAGAGAGGAGAACCGTGATTAGTCACAGCAGAGAGGAGAGCTGTGATTGGTCACAGGCATAGAGAAGAGCCGTGATTGGTCACAGCAGAGAGGAGAGCCGTGATTGGTCACAGCAGAGAGAGCCGTGATTGGTCACAGCAGAGAGGAGAGGCGTGATTGGTCACAGCAGAGAGAGCCGTGATTGGTCACAGGCATAGAGAAGAGCCATGATTGGTCACAGGCAGAGAGAAGAGCCGTGATTGGTCACAGGCATAGAGAAGAGCTGTGATTGGTCACAGCAGAGAGAAGAGCTGTGATTGGTCACAACAGAGAAAGTTGTGATTGGTCACAGGCATAGAGAAGAGCCATGATTGGTCACGGGCAGAGAGGAGAGCCGTAATTGGTCACAGCAGAGAGAGCCGTGATTGGTCACGAGCAGAGAGAAGAGCCAGGGCTGCTTTAGGGCTAAGTGCTCCAGTCCGAGGGCAGCAGAGTCCTAAGGACGGAACACGAAGGGGCCAGGGGTGAAGGGCTCGGTGGTGGGTGACCGCACCGTCCCAGGCACCGTGGACTCATGGCCAGGAGAGAAGCCGTACCTCCCACCTCACAGACGGGACGGAGGGGTTCGCCCATCACACCCGGGAGCCAGCAGCAGGGGTGCAAACTCAGGCAGCAGGTTCCAGCCCCGGGCCGGCCACTCAGCCTGCGCTCAGCGCCCCCACTCGGAGCCCCCATTGCACAGGGCGGCGGGGGCTTGTCAGCTGCCTCCGTGAGGCCCTCCCACCCCAACAGCAGTCCCCGGACCACAGCGCCTACCTCGGGGTTCTCCTGGCTCGGGGGCCGGTCTTCCTTCCTCTTGGAGGCCTGAGCTCCCTGAGATGGCTCCTCCGTGGGCGGCCGCGACTCGGCCTTGCTCTCGGGTTGGGTCTGCACTTGAGGCTGAATGATGATGACCTGGAAGGTACGGCGCAGGGAGGGGGATGAAGGGGGC